TGAGTAGCCAGTGGTCTTATTTTTCCCCTGTCACAATGCTGTTGCTCCCAGCCTTCTGATATTTTTTACTTCTGTTTAAAGAAGTAGCCTTGCATATTATGGGAAATTAGTCCAACCACCATACTTACTTTTGAAGTGCCTTTTTCTTGATTTTGATTTACAGATTGGTAGTACTGTGTGTGAGTTTAAGAGTTAGCACACCAGTTAAATACTAATAGAGACATTTTCACAGCTAATGTGACTTAAATATCAGTAGCAAGTGCATATCATGTAAATATGCCTGATTTTCTTGGCAGCTTGAAGTAAAACTTTTGAAAAGTTATGAAGCTTGGGAGGGGCTTAGAGAGTAAGTTGTATAAAGGGTGGCTGAGGGAGCTGAGGTTGTTTAGTCTGGAGTAAAGGAGGCTCAGGGGAGACCTCTCCCTACAGCTATCTGAAAGGACATTGCAGCAAGGTGGGGGTTGGCCTCTACTCCCAGGCAACCAGTGACAGGATGAGAGGAAATGGCTTTAAGCTGCACCAGGGAAGGTTCAGGTTGGACACAAGGAAGAATTTCTTGATGGAAAGGGTTGTCAAGCATTGGAACAGGCTTCCCAGAGAGGTGGTGGAGTCACCGTTCCTGGAGGTGCTCCAAGAAATGACTGGATGTGGCACTCAGTGCTCTGGTCTAATGGACAAGGTGGTGATTGGTCAAAGGTTGGGCTCAGTGATCTTGGAAGTCTTTTCCAACCTTAATGATTCTATGATTCTGTGATTCTAAAAACATGCTAAACTGTAAGCACATAGTAACTGCATTTGTACTTTCCTTTAGGTCGTCGTTATTAAGCCGCTCTCAGCAGATTCACCTGAACTCTGATCTAAAAACATATTTGATGCAAAACTGCAGTGGTGAGCCCTGCATGTTGAGTGCAAGGCAATGGGTTAAAGACTATGCAGCTGCTTACATTGACAAAGAGCTTTCATCTTCCTCAATGACAACTGCAAGTGCCATTCAGGCAGAAGTCACTACATTCACTCGATTGTGGATCTATAGTCACCACATTTACAACAAGCAAAAAAGAAAGAATATTATTGACTGGGCTAAGGAGCTCTCTCTTTCAGGGTTTTGCATGCCAGGGAAACCAGGTGTTGTTTGTGTAGAAGGTTTACAAAGTAATTGTGAAGAGTTCTGGTCAAGGTTAGTTTTTCTTTGTACTTAAATGCCATTAGCAGTTAGAATATTACATTTTTTCATGTTGTACCTGTGGCCAGAAGGTGGGAAATCCAATCACCTTCCAAGATTAAAGATCTGCCAAGTACTGCATTTATAATAATGTATTTACAACTCTGAATATCCACTGTACTGTTGGTTGCAGCAATCAAAGCAACCATGGTGCACATTTATTTCTGTTTTATTTTCCTCTGTGTGTCACTTTTCTAGGGATGGGCAACAGTGCCCCAGTTGTGTTAGATATGTGTGCTCTTATATCACTTTACATTCGTGTTTTATTCTGCTTCCATCATTTATGCTTCTGGGCGATGCAGACTAAATGAACATTGTAATTTGATAATAACAGCTAAGAGAGTATGAGAATTCTTAGCATGGGGAAGGCAGAAGTGAGCACTGAAATGAAAACCACATCTTCATTAATTATTTTGTGAGGAATAACATTAAGGTTTTGGAATCCTGAGGAGATATAAAAAAACAAGCTCCTCCTTATGAGAGTGTTTGCATGTGAGCAGTATTTCTATGACCAGCTCATGAACCATTATCTCTGTCTATGTATATATATATATATACAAACAGAATTTTTTGACTCTTGTGATAATAGTTATTCCATAGTATTTCCTAAAACAGTCTTTATTTTATAGATAGATTAGTATTTCTCCAATTGCTTTCAGAGTGAGAAGACTAACGTGGAAAAGAATTCTCATTCGGCACAGAGAAGATGTTTCTTTGGAAGGTGGAGGACATGCTGAGATTCAGAACCAACGGAAGTTTTCCACTTTGGAAGAAAAATGTTTTGATGCACACGGTGCCAGGGGAAATCATATGGATTTGGGGCAACTCTATCATTTTTTAGAAGAAAAAGGATGTGCTGACATTTTTCAAATGTACTTTGGGGTTGAAGGGCACTGAAGGGTTTGAAGATCAGCACAGGCCCCAGCACTTACGACTGGAATTTAATCCTCATAACAGATTCCTTGGCTGTCCTGCAACAGTTGATCAGAGAGGGAATTAATAATTCATGGTTTATGTGATGAATACAGTTTTCAATGAAAACAAATATCCAGTGAAATCCCGAATAATGAAAATGACTACACGAATACTTTATTACTTTATTTACTTTCTGATTTTAAGGAGATTTAGGGTACATACCTAATTACAATTTAAAAAAATGCATTTGATAACCAATTGGGCAGTTATGGAATTACAGATGAATGAATAGATGGAATATAGGGAATGAATATATGAATAAGAAGTTACAAAAATGCAGTGTGGATGTCTCAGGAGGGGAAATGTTATGTTTACATTAATTGCTACTGTTTACATACACTACACAAAGACTTTTTTGTAACAATCTTCTACTTCCTACATGAAAATTTATTAAGCCATGAGATCAATATTTTATTTAAAAACAAACAAAAGGAGGGAGCAAATTTACAAGAGTCTTGCATATGCTAAAAAGCTGAGCTAGGATGCCTACTCTGAGGTGTAAGAGTTTTTTGTAGGTACAAGTGTGTATGCAGGTAAGAGAAATACCACGGTGGCTTCACTACAGCTGTAGCTGAAGAGTTTATTTTTATTTGTGTAGAAGCAACAAAGATGAAGAATCAAGGATGGGCTCCCTTACAGCACACTCCAAAACTGTGAAATGATCCTCAGCCTTCTGAGTTCACAAGTTTTCATTCCTGTAATATAAAGTGCATTATGCTGCGTGTGTTTTTGAGTCCAGTTTCAACAAAGTTGTACCAATTAATCCTAATTTTATGGATACTGTATCTAAATCCCACGTCTGAAAAAGCACAAATTGGTCGCTTTGGGTTAAATATTTTTAATAAATATTGATTAAATATTTCTGTACAGATCCAGTAAAATTTGTAGCGATACTTCGGAGTGACGTCATTCGGCAAGTGCGGTTTTGCCTCTGGATGAAACTCCCAAATCTCGAGTCCCTTTAAGCGTACGAGGAGGCCGCAGCTCCGTGAAAGCGCCACGGGAGGCTCGAAGTCTCCGCGCGTTTAAGATCGACGGATTTTTATTCTCCAAAGGGTTTTTTGAGCTCCGGGGTGTCCCCGTCACCCCGGCCCCGCCCCGGAAGTGCCGCTCTCTCCCTGTCGGTGCCGGCCCGTCCCGGTGCCGCCGCCGCCGCCATGGGGGGCAAGAACAAGCAGCGACCAGGGCAACCTGCGGAGTAGCGCGGCCGTGGGACGGGGACGCCCCCCCGGTCCTCGCTCGGCGGGGCCGGGGAGGGCGGTGCGGCCCGCGGCCTCGGGGCTCGCGGGGCCGGCCCCTCCGGCTGCCGTGGGGCCGCCGAGGCCCAGCTCCGGCGGGGAGGCGGCGCGGGTCGTCGGGTCCGGTGGCAGTAGCCGGTGGCCGGGCCCACCTCTGGGCCTGGGGCGTGCTTAGGGGTGTGTGGCTGCTGTCGCCGTAGGGGCGCGTAATTACAAAATCACCACGGGTCTAAGTTCAGCAAAGTTCAGCGTGGTTTTCTGTGGAGAGTCTTAGAATTCACCTGTTTTGGTGTCTCTGTCTTGCCACCAGGCCAGTGGTGGTGTGAAATCTGTCCTATGTGGTACTCTCTCGGGATGTGTGCGAAACCTTGCGTTCAGGTTCTGTAATTCCTCCGTGGATTTAGAGAAGACTAGGGGACACAGCACAGCACGTCCTTAATAGTTGAGGGGTCACATTCAGAAAAGATTATTTAAACCCCACAAGCTCACGAAACTGCAACTGCCATTAGGAAGTAAAAGGTGTTTGGAATATGAGGTATCGCAGAGAACATTAAAGCATCAGTCTGTTGTGGGGCAGTCTTTCCAAAGGAGTATGGTTGAAATAAACATGAGCCAGTGGTACAGTGAGCAACTGGGGCAAACTGGAAGAGATGCTAAATTTGAAAACACACGCTGTAATACTAACTGGTATTATCCTGTTTTACATATGCACCCTTTACTCCATTCCTCTAAATCCTTTTTGACCACTTTGTTACTGGGAGAATGTTTTGTGTATCTGCTTTTATTTTTCCCAGTGATACAAATAGCATTTCCTGGGAGCCCTTATTAGCCCATGAGAAGAACTAGGAAAAACGAAAGTATTGAAGGAGGATAAATAGTTTCTTAATAAATTGTTTGCTTACAGAAGGACTTTCCTGTTACGCTGTTTTGTGTGTGTATAAATCCAATAAAACTTTCCATAAGTTATCATGGATTGTGAGAAAAGGAAATGCTGATTGATAGAATCAGAGAATAGAATCACAGAATGGCTTGGGTTGGAAGGGACCTTAAGGCCATCTAGTTCCAACTGTCTGCCATGAGCAAGGTTGCTCCGAGCTCCATCCAACCTGGCCTTGAACACTTCCAGGGATGGAGCATCCACAGTTTCTCTGGGCAGCCTATGCCAGTGCCTCACCACTCTCAAAGGGAAGAATTTCTTCCTCATATGTCATTTAAACCTACTCTTGGTTTGAAGCCATTCCCCCTTGTCCTATCACTGTAGTTCCTGACAAAGAGTCCCTCTCTGGCTTCCTTGTAGGCTCCCTTCAGATACTGGAAGTCTCCCCAGAACCTTCTCTTTTCCCAGATGAACAGACTCAACTTTCTCAGCTTGATTCTAAAGCGAAGAATAATTTTCTAGGTCAAACTTCTATGTTTAAAGCATAGGTGGCCTTTTGTTTGTGAGACTTTATTTTAATTAGAAGGTTAATCATACAATATAAATAGGATCATCGTGTCAAATGCATGATGCATGCAAAATAAAATCAAATACATCATTGACCGCTGTCCCTGGTTTTTGTCAGCCTTCTAGCAGCGGCCGAGCTGCAGAGCTCCTTGCCAAAGAACGTGGAACAGTGCCTGGGTTTATTGGCTTTGGAACATCTCAGAGTGATCTAGGATATGTTCCTGCAATTCAAGGAGCAGAGGAAATAGACAGCCTTGTGGATGCCGATTTCCGAATGGTGTTGCGAAAACTTTCTAAAAGGGACATCACAACAAAATTAAAAGTAAGTGTGTCCTTCGTCTCCCATAATTCTTTTTTTTTTATTGGAAAACAATACAGTTTTCTTAAGGATGGGAGAGGAATATGTGAACATAACTAATAGTAATTTCATATTGGTAGATTTGCTAGAATTGCAATCCAGAAGTTATCTTGGATAACCTCTAGGAAGGTCCATTGTGCAGTTATCTCTACAGATGCTCAATTGCAAGAGATGAATTGATTTTTTAAAAAGAGAGTTGCAGTTTCAGATATAAGCTGGTAAATTACAGAAAATATCTGTCTGACTTCTTAAGTCATTCTCTTGATATTTTGATTTTAGGCTATGCAAGAGTTTGGGACAATGTGCAAGGAAAGAGAAGCAGAAGTTGTTAAAGGTGTTCTTCCTTACTGGCCAAGAATTTATTGTAAAATTTCACTAGTAAGTACTGAAGTATTTAAATTAGAAACCTCTCTGTATACTTCCTCTCTCTGGAACAACCTCCAAGGTGGTCTTTATTGATGTTATCTACCTTTATTGGAATTACTGACTTGTTCTAGGAAAAACATAAAGTTGAAGGAAATTATTGTTCTTTATTGTGGAGATATTTCAGTTTTGGCAGTGCGTGAAATCTTGAACTTTTGGGTCTCTGGGCTTTATTTCATTGATGGAGGTATCTGTTGTCAGATCTTTATGTTTAAAAGATGGTAGGATATTTCTTCTCAGGAAAAGTTCTTTTATGTACATTCTAGAATGGCTAAAGAGACTTTAGTTAATATAATTATAAATCTTTTTTACCTAGGACTAATATCTGACCAGACTTAAAATTAAAAAACGCCCAAAACCAAACCCAAACATGGAAGACCATGGGTAGCCAGATAATAACTAATTTTTTGATATATTTAATACATTTTAAACTCTCTGGACTGGCTACTCTTGAAAACATGATATGGGACAGAATGGGTCACTATTCTTATCCATTAGAGCAATTCCTAGTGTTTCTTTCAAGAGCCAAGAGCCTAGAAAGTCATGATGTTGTAAATTCATATGCAAATAAACAATAATGATGCAGTGTTTCTGTAGACTTATGGTAGTTCTAATTCAAAAGATGTCTTCGAGGTTTCCTGTTTCTCTTGCCTCTTGTCTTTCTGTTAAATGTTTGTATAAATTGGAAACAGATACTGTAGTTAGGGATATTGGGAAAAGGTTACAACTGGGAGTGTCCAACATTTTTGGGAATATGATGCTACTAAGTTGTGGCTCTCCCCATACCTAGAGATACCAAGACTTTATTGTCATTGGTGTGTATTTTCAAATCTAGGTAGCCCAGTTAATCACAAAAATGGCTTTTTAATCATCACCTCTGCTTTGAAGTATCTGGCATCAAAGGTGCATTTCTTAAACCAACAAACATTAACTTTCCTTTCTTTTTTATTCTGACAGGATCATGATCGCCGTGTTCGAGAAGCAACTCAGCAATCTTTTGAGCAACTGATTCTTAAAGTAAAAAAACACTTAGCTCCTTACTTAAAAAGTATCATGGGATACTGGCTGATTGCTCAGTGTGACACTTACTCTCCTGCTGCTTCTGCTGCAAAAGTAGCTTTTGAAAAAGCTTTTCCTTCAAGCAAACAGCCTGAAGCCTTAGTGTTTTGTAAAGATGAAATTCTTAATGTGAGTTTATACTTTTATGTTTCTTTAAGGCTTTGTGTATATCAACTATTATTATAAATTTAAAACTCATCCTGCTCCCATCCATTCTTCACTGTTAAATTTCTTTCTCACCTGAAACTTTGATCCTGTGAAGAGAATATAGAACAGTGTGGGTTGGAAGGGACCTTAATGATCATCCAGTTTCACTCCCCTACCATGGACAGGGTTACCTTTCACTATCCCAGGTTGCTCCAAGCCCCCTCTAACCTGGCTTTGAACACTTCCATGGATGGGGCAGCCACAGCTTCTCTGGGCAACCTGTGCCAGGGCCTTACCACCCTCACAGGAAAGAACTTCTATAAATAAATATAAAAGAGTATGGTAATAAGAAAACTGTGATGAACAGAGGAATCAATAGTGAATTTTCTTGTGTGCATTTCTATGTAATGATGCTCAGTCAACACGTAATGTCACTGACAGATGGAATAAAGATGCTGGAGTACTTCAGCTGCAGTGAAAAAGGAATAAAGAATGCTGAGCAGTCTTTCAGCATCTACAAGTTTAGTAATGACTAAGGTTAATGCTCTTATGCCAGTCTTATATGAAACTGAATTGACTGGATTAAAAAAGTAAAAGATTGCATTGCTGGCCCATCATACGCAAACAGAACTATTTCTGTTTTCCTCAGTTTGGCTTCTTTGTAGCAGAAGCACACTGGCACAGGGCTGCAACTTATGAAGTGTTATGGAGCTTTAATTCAAACAGCTACTATGTTGATCATGAGTCAATTAAATTATTTTCTTTTTCACTAGCTTGTCTAAAATAGACAGCTCAGAGGTTGGGAAATTTTATTGTAGAGCTGTTTCTGAATGATGTATGGACTATATTGTTCACATATAAATATTGCATTTCTTTGTGTTTATGTTTGTTGGGTTTTTTCCCCTTAGGTACTTCAAGATCACCTTCTGAAAGAGACAGCTGATACACTCAGTGACCCCCAGTATGTTTGCCTGCTTTAATATGTATACTTTAAGTATTGGTCTGTATTGGGTTCTCTGTCCCTGGAGGTAGTGGATTTAGTTTTGTTTCAAGAGGCAGAGTATTTATTTGAGTCCAGTTCCTAGTGACTTTCTTTGGGACTTAAGTTTAAAAGCTTTTGAAAGTGTTACCAGTTACCTAATTCTTGTTTCAGCTGTTTCAGGAGTAGCATTTGTGCTTAGGCAGAATATGAGATGAATTGAAACTCTTTCGAACACTTCATAATGTAATTTAGAACCTATGGAAAGTTTATGTATTTGCATTGCTAGCACCTGAAATCAAAAGAAGAACACAAAAAAACTGAAGACAGTTTAGTTTAGAAGAACTTGGGAAGCCTACTGATTTATTTGTTGTTCACTTTAATTTTTTTGTTTGTTTTGCCTTCTGAGAACTGTTCCAGAAGAAGAAAGGGAAGCCAAATTTTTTCGGATTCTGACCTGTTCCTTGTTAGCTTTAAAAAAGTTGCTTAACATGTTGCCCAAAAAAGAGATGCATTCATTGGCGGAAAAGTTAATGTCGCTTCTGTCCCAAAACAAATTTTGGAAATACAGCAAACACAACATACCACAGGTGACTTCTTAATTTCTTCTTTATTTTGGTTGGTTTTAGTTAAAGGTGATACACTTAACCTAAGGAAGTATTAGTTGCTTGTATTCTACAGGAATGAACTTTGCACTTTGCTTATATTTGAAACAGCCTTCAGGTTTCTAGGCCTTAAATAGACAATATTGCTCTAAAATTTACCCAGCAGACCAAATTGTTATTTCTATATCATCATGATCTACTTCTTGGCAATCTGCCATCATTTAAAATTCATCTAAAAGATACAAACTCTGTCAGCTTACTGATTGTGTTCTTAGTGGTTTGGAATTTTCAGTTTTTAAACCATTTTATTGGTCTTTAATCTGCTAAGACCAGTAGTGCACAGAGTGATGAACTGATGAGGTAGTATTTTTTAACAAGTTTCAAGTTGCTTTTGGGAAAAAATGCCTTTTGAGAAGTATATTAAAATACAACTGAACGAATTGCTGTAAAACGTTTGATAAGCCTGTTTAATAATTGCTTTATTTTTCTTTAATAATATTTAAAATTTTGCTGATATAATAAAATAGGGGGACCAGATGTTGTAAGTTATGTTGACTTTAAAAGGAATGTTATAAACTACATGTAGTGACAAATTTTGTTTTTTTTCCTGTGGTCTCTGTCAGGTTCGCTCAGCTTTCTTTGAGCTGATTTCTGCTTTTTGCCAGCACTTGCCTGAGCTGGTGAGAGCTGAAGCACCAAGAGTTTGTCCTGCTGTTCTTCTGAGCATTGATGACAGCGATGCAGTGGTGTGTCCTGCTCTTTGGGAAGCTGTACTTTATGCTATCACCACTATTGAGGTAATGGGGAAAACTAAGAGGCAGATATTTTCCTCAAACTTAACTTTTCACCAAGTTCTCTGTATAGAATTTGGAAGAAGAGCTTGACTGGGTTTTCTTTATGATTAATAACATGGACTCCTCAAGGCTACATACTTCTTCTTCCCCTAAGGGTTTCAGTGTAACTTTATTGTGTCCAGCGTATTTGAAAATTAGAGTTGTTTTATGAGTTTAATTGAATTAACCTGAATCCCTTTCATTAAATGTAGTTATTTGACTAGTAAGTCAGATAATGTTTAAAACCTTTTTCTTGGTTAAAGACAGTTAAAAAAAATGACCTGCAGTGCATTTTTGGTTTGTTTGTTTCCCCTTCAAGTTTAAGGGTTCTATAGCTTTTCCTTTTTTTTTTTTACTGAATTTTAAGTGAAATACCAGATTTGAATTTATTAGCAGGATGAGGTGTTGCCATAGACTGGGATGTTTTGAGACCTTAATAATGAAGATCTCTTTTGTAACTGCTAGTATGAACTGTAACAATTTGTGTGGAAAAAAAACCCCAAACTATATTTGCTCAGCCTTTTATAAATATAGGTATCTGGAACTATACTGAGTATTATAATAAATATAATAGATCAGATGGCAAAAAATTTTGGGGAGGAGAAAGTGCCAAAGTATTTTGTAACCATCAGGAAATTTTTGAAGAGAGTTTTGAAGTGGGTGATGCTTCTAAAGTCAGTATCACTTGATAATGAGAACTTAAAATTAAATACTGGGCTAATTACAATGATGACTTTTATGAAGCATCGTGAAAGCATTATTAAAGACAAGCCTTTGATTCCAGCTGGCTAATAAGGAAGGTCAGTTGATTTTAAGCAGTGCAGAAATATTTTTGTCGTGTTAACTTCTTAAATTCACAAGCTGAAATAGGGAGAAAGTGATTTTAAAAAATACTGGCAAGAGAGTAACTGAAGAGAATTTAAATTTTACAATAACTTGTTTCAGCTACAATATGGGGAGGCAGGTTAAATGTCTAGCTTGGGAGTTCTGAGGCAACATATTCTTGTTTGATTTACAGAAAGTGAATTTCTTTCTATAGGACTGTTGGAGTCACGTAAATGCCAAAAAGGGAGTTCTGCCAAAGCTGTGGACAGTGCTTCGAGAAGGTGGACGAGGGCTGGCTACTGTTATATACCCCAACCTCTTACCCTTCATTAGCAAGGTACCTCCTGCTGTTATGAAACCGAAGCTGGAATATTTCAGAACTTTTTTCGGCTCTTTAATTCAAGGGTATGAACCACAAATTTATTTATTTGGAATCAATCTCTTTTACATTTGGAAATAAGAGAACTAATCTTCTTCAAGCTTTTAAAAAGGAATGAAAATAATATTTTAAAAATTCTTTTAAATATCTAAAACTAGAGTCAGTCCTTTGTGCCTGTTCCTGTCATCAGAAACCTTCAGCTTTCCTTTTGATTTTATTACATCTTCCTTATATAAAGCATTCTTATCTTTCCTTGTCAAAACTTTGTGTTTATTCCATGACAAATTTTAAAATGAGAAATTAATTTAAAATTAAGAGTGACTCTTAAGAATCAGGCTCTTCTCACCAGTGTATGATTTTTACAGAGGTTATTGGGGATTAGCATTGTGATAGTGAAATTTCCTGTATGCAGGAACCTTAATTCTTATGATACTGATTTTTAAAGGATTGAAACTGCTATCACTTTTTGCCTTTAAAATGCATCAAAACCAACCTTCTGTCAAATCTCATTTAAATAGATACATGTGCATTGTGTGCTCAAAAGCATAGAGAAATTATTTTATGAAAGACTAAAATGCCATTTATTTAAACAAAAATCAGTTCTCAACTGATGTTGGTGTGGCCTGTATCAGAGCTCTTGGAGAAGAGAGTTATGTATGGGTTGGTTTTGAAAAGTGTATCGAATGTTATTACAGGTAGTAAAATGATGACCCTGAGATTGGCTCAGTTGGTTAGAGCCAATCTCAGGTTGTGAGTTGGTTACAGCCACCAAGGTTGTGAGTTTGATACCCATACGGGCCATTCACTCAAGAGCTGGACTTGGTGATCCTCGTGGGTCCCTTCCAACTCAGAATATTCCGTGATTGTAATATTTCTCTGGTAATTTGTGTGATCTAATTTTCGTTAAAAAGCAAACGAATTCCAGTTTTTCAAGCTCAAACTGGTTACTGGTAAGCTGGCTTTAGGTGGCTTTGTTTTCTTTTTCTTACCTGTAATGACAGAAAGTGACACTTTGTGGCGTGTGTAGAAAATTGCAAAGGAGTTTTGACAGCCAGCTGAAGCATGTGAAGTATGCTTGACTGGATCTGGTTCCTCTATTTACATAGATGTTTCTTTGTGAATGCTAAGACTGGATGAAGAAGTTATTTTAATATAAGTTATATTAATTGCCTCAGTTTATTGACTCTTTAATTTGAATTTATTTTCATCTGACTCCTGTAAATGATTCTATGATCCTATATTCTCATATTGGTGTTGTCTGGATCAGAACAACATAACAGAGGGTATATTCATGGCGTTCATGTGGGGTTTCTTGGAAGCACAGTTGCCTGAGTGTGCCCTCCCTCTGATGTTGCCTCTCACAGGTTGTCAAGTGAGCGGGCAGTAGCCAGCCCTTCAGAAAGTTCAGCAATTATAACTGCATTTATGGAGTGTCTGTGCTTTGCTGTACTACAGAAAGTAGAAGAGGATGACCAAACCCAAATTCATCAAATGCTTATATCTGACCAGGTATTTATTAGAAATATGGAATATTTTTGTGTGCACATTTAATAATTACCATTATTATTAACTAACGTTATTAATATTTTAATAACATTAAAGAAAAATGTGAAATTTAGGTGAGGATTTACTTCTCTGTTGAAAGTTTCCCTAGATTTTTAAAATCACCCAGGTTGGAAGAGACCTTCAAGATCATCTAGTTCCACCATCAACCCAGTACCACCATAACTACCCCATAACCACATCCCCAAGTGCCACGTCCAGACACCTCTTGAACACTTGTAGAGATGGTGACTTCACCACCTTCCTGGGCAATGTATTCCAATGCCTGACCACTCTTTCAGTGAATTTTTTTTTTCTTATGTCTGGTCTGACCCTCCTCCGGTGCCATTAAAGACCGTTTCCTCTCATCCTTTTATTTGAGACGTGGCGGAAGAGACTGACCCTCACCTTGCTACAACCTCCTTTTTGGCAGTTGTGGAGAGCCATGAGTAACAAAAATAATGCTACTGAATTTAGTAATTTTTTTCTTCCTATAAAATCATCCTTTTAACTGTGCAGTTTAAATTATATTTAAGGAAAAAAAGACTATCCTGTATATTTTCAACCATGAGTGTTCGAGCTTGAGTAATTCCGGTATTTTTAGAATTGCTTCTGCAATGTTTTTCAAAATTATATAATTTTGTGGCATGACAAAGAATAAAATGATTTTTTAACTGGATCACTGTTCTTTAATAATTTTTTTTTCTTTATAGCTAATTCCTTTCACCAGTGCTGTTCTTAAAGAGCCCATGTTACAAAGTGGACCATTATTTTATCAAATAGCAGAAATGCTGAGCTCCTGGGAAGCTAAAGCAGAACTCTCCAGTGATGATGGCACAGATGAAGTTTTCCAGAAACTGTTGTCAAATTTTTGGGACCATCTTTTAAAAATGTGTGTACTTCATGTTGATAGGTTGGATGCTGATGAGAAATCATTGTTTGCCATATCTGGTATGCTAGAAATTCTTCAGAATCCAAAGAGTGCTACCAAACCAAACAACAAAAAATTTCTGAAAATCAGATTTACAGACGAGGATGAATCTGAAAGAAACCCAGAGAATGGAAAGCTCACAGAAGTGAGAAAAGGTGACTCTGAAATACAGGCTGACTTGCAGCATAGTTCACATCTAAGGAAAGAACCTTTAGAGAACTTAGTCTGCAACCTTGCTGAGCTGAGCATTGTGTATGTCAATGAACAGAAGTCAGAACAGCATTTGAAATTTCTCTCTGCCCTGCTCAACTCTTTTTCCTCAAACAGAGTTTTCCAAGTACTTTTAGAGCAGGGAAATGATGCAAGCCATGCTCAAGCCGAATCCCAAAACAAAATGAAAGCTCATAACAGAAGTCCATCTGTACAATTTCTGTATATGAATTTAATAACTTGGCTGAAAGAAGACTGGAGAAAAGACACCCATTTCCTAGTTGATATTTTATACAGTGTGCTTCGGTGTTGCAACAGTAATGAAGAAAGGAAAATCATTCTTGATGATTTAGCAAAGGTATGACTTGTGCATTATGTCATTAATTTTTATCAAAGTCATGACTTTTTGTGGGCTGTTGTTCATTAATAATCTTACATTGGCACTGCCATATAGAAAAAATTCTACATGAACTTGGGTAAGATCAATTTAAGGAAAGTAGCTTTAGGAAAGCTTGACATGACAGTGTTGGAGTGAAAGGTTACGACATCTGTTCCTTTCTGTATGGTAAAAATCATTTAAAAAAATGAACATCAGAATTTCTCTGCTTTTACTTCTCTATACAGTGTAGTTTTATACTAGTCATTGGTGGCCCTTCTTTTAAATGAAATCCCTTATTGATTTTGTTACTGAAATTTAGCAACTTCTACTTAATCCCTGCAGAACAGTTAAAATGGTATTAATGCTTCCTATTCAGCAAAAAAATTTGTTAAATATTGTGGAATTTTGTTTTTCTTTTCAGATGGATCTGAAATGGATTGTTTTCCTCCAGATAATTCAAAAGGTACCCCTTAATATTTAATTTTTTTTGTTCTTGTTATGCGTAGTTTTGACTATTTCTCTGGTGTTAGCTTTGAGACTCACATGTGTTTGAATGACTTTTTTTTTTTACCTACGTAGTGATAATTTCCATAGTTTGAAAATCTTACATTAATAGTTTCAGAGTAGTGTTTGTTTGAAATGCATTTAAATCTGGAGACAGTTTTAAAAATGAAATGATGATACCAAAACAAAAGAATCTTTGTCCCTTCTATTTTTGGTCAGTTTGCTTTTTGAGCCAGAGGGATTCCTGATTTGTTGGTTATCTGTGCTAAACTAGAGATAATGGAGCTGGGGATTTAAACCAATAACTTAAATGATCATTTATATCATCACCCTTACATGATGCTTACAAGGAAAAGGTAGTATTCCATTTTTTCACACCCAATATTGAGACTGACATTTAAGTAATTGCATGGGATGCAATAGGAAGTGTATGACAAACTTTTGGACAAAAACTCATTGCACTGGATTTATAATCCAGTGCGTAGACCACAGTATCTTCCCTCACACATGCTGTGTATTTTAGGAATACTCAATTTTTATGATTTTGTAACTTAGAGTGCCTCATCACCAAAATAATGTTTTTGATTTGTGACCCTCCATTTCTTTTTAAAGAAATTCAGGTGCTGTAAATGGATTTTATGTTGTAAGTAGGTTTTATTTCAGCCAACTTGGTCATCCAGAAGTTATTTTTGTAATTCCAATGTAGGAATTCCCTGGGCTCTATAGTTGAAGAAAAGGAAAACGAAGCATTTTCAGAAGGTGACTTTTTTTGCTCTACAGCAGAGGTCTGACCTAGCCATAAGCTGCTGTCTCTGACCAAAAAGAAAGCTGGGGGGATTCTTGCAGATGTAAACACCTAAAGACTTATTGTTTGTGACAGATGATATGATTCCCACTCTATGTGTAGGTTTGACATAGTAATTTTATGCTTACTTAGTAATAATAGTTAAAAACAAGTTGCCCAGAAAGCTGTAGATGCCACATCCCTGGAAGTGTTCAAGGCCTGGTTGGATGGGGCATGGAGCAATTTGGTCTAGAGGAAGGTATCCCTGTCTGTGGCAGGGGGGGTTGGTGCTTGAATGGGAACATGGAAGATGATCTTTAAGGTCCTTTCCAATCCAAACTATTCTAACTCTTAAAAGATTCTTAGAATTATTTTCTCGTGATTCAGGCATGCTCAAGCACAACAAAACTTTCCTTAGTCTCTGACTGGCTGAAGGGAGATACACTTGGAGAAAGACTGGTGATGCTGGCAGATGATCTGTGCCACCTGTGTTTAAAACCTAACACAGCCTCATCAGACTCAGCCTCTTCAGAAAGGTGGACCCTCCTGAGCTTGGTGCTGTCACAGCATGTTAAAAGTGGTAAGCATGTATAATCCTTGGAGTTTGTGAACTGTAAATACTCCAATCCTTGGAGTTTGTGAAGTGTAAAGCGTAAGTGAAGTGCACTTATGCTTTGCATAAGGTTGAAAAGAATTTGAGATCTTCCAGAATACTTAATTTGGAACATTTAGGCTTTCTTCTTGTGGTTCATTTGTTGGTTTGAAGTTTTTGTTTATTTCTTTTGGGCTTTCTTTTTTTATACCTGAGCCATTTTTTTTGGTCCATATTGCTAACCAAAGTCAGTGTTTAAAGAATAGATTCAAATTCAGATTCAAATAGGGCTGATTTTCCAGTGACTTTTGATTTCTGACTCTAGAGCTTGGGGGTACTGCTGAGCTCATTTTCTGCTGGGTGACCTGTTTTTAATTCATATTGGTTGAAGCCTAAGAGGCTTTCAGGAGCTATGGTGGTTCTTGGCTTAGTGATTTAGGCCAAAATAGAGTATGTGGACTTTCAAAAAATTTTTTTAAATCTCTTATCTCAGTTTCTCAAGGTAAATTGCCATGGAGGAAATGAAAGAGCCTTTCATGGATCAGTAGCCTATCAGATGATAAGAATTAAAGGGGAAAAAGGATAAATACTGAAAGGAAGATAATTGTTTCTGATAAATTATTCAGAGTAATCAAAACTGAAACTTCACAGACCTGTAGCAGTGTGTTGTGATACTGAATGCTTAACTGATATAAGTACAAAAGAAATCCAAAACCAGTAAATATCACAAGTATACAAGGGAAGAACCAACTGTAACTGTAATGATTCAGTGATAGGCTCTGAGCTGTTAAAACTCAAAAAGAGACCTTCAATCATCGTGGTGGTTCCCTGTAAGTGGCAAGTTGTGCTCAGCAGTAAAAAAGGAATGCAGGTTATTTGGAGCTGCTGTGAAAAGAACCCAGGACAGATGACATGTAGTCAATGCATTGAGCATGTAGTCAGTGTATGTAATACTACCTGTGGTTTTGGTCACTGCAATATTCTAGTTCAGCTGTATGCTTTTGAGAAAAAGTGTGATAGAATTAGAATATGCCCAAAGAAAGCTGGCAGGGATGGTTAGACAAGCAGTGGCTTCTGGTTGTAGAGGCAGTAAAACAGACTAGAATTTTTCACTTGCAGTGAAAGTGATTAGGGATGGGGTTGTGCTAAAGAGCTATAAAATCATAATTTGTATGGAAAATGCAAATAGGAAGAAACTTTTCATTGTTTCTTTCAGTGGAAGAACCTGAGTTGCTAACAGATGTTTAGATAACAGTCTTGAGGGAAAAGTACACTTCTTCATCCAGTTTAGAATTAAATAATGGAAGTCATTGCCACAGGGTGTTGTGGAGTTTGAGGATAAATGGGATTGGCCTGCTTGGATCCCACAAAAAAGGAGCCAAGTATGTTCACAGAAGACTGGTCTGCTTGGGGGTAATTATATGCAGTCCAAGTGTAATCTTGGGCTCACAGTTGATTGTCAGAAGCTAGGAAGGCATAAAAGGGGGAGGGATCAGTCTGCACTTGCACTATTTTATATACCTTTTTTGAAGTTGCTTCAGCTGGTTTAGAGAGGAGATAATTGGCAGTGTGAAACTTTGGCTGGGTGATCCTTGATGTCTGTGAAATAAGAGAGTTTATGTATACATTAGAGTGAAACTGCTTTGCACTTTATTTTGGTTTCAGAATCAGTAAATATTAACCAAATTGGTCCATATTAATATGACGTCTTTGACCATGTTTATCAAGAAATCAAAGCATGCTGTTGTTTTCCTCTCCCCAATAGAATCATTGATTGATGAAACTTTTATTGAAAGGATTATTGATAAACTTCAAGCAGCTCTATCTAAAGCAAAGGATCTTTCTGAAGCTGGAAATACTGAGCCATCAGTATCTTTCATCTGTGATGTAGCCTCAAGCTTTTTCAGCTCTGTTAAAGGGTGTTTACTGATGCCATCCTCAGAAGACTTGCTGCTTACCATCTTCCAGCTGTGTGCTCAGAGGCAGGATGCAACACACTTAACAGGTAATCTAGAAAAAGAACTTCAACCAGACTTTCTCACAGGTGATGATTACATCTGAATTCTTCTTTTTCATGAAATGGATGCAAGTATGTAATAGAATACTGAATTCACATACATTGAGCACTTGCAGCTGTAACTGATACAAAAATTTATGCTTTAATTTACAGTGCCCATAGTTACTACTAAACATCAAGTCCTGTACATCTCTTTACAAGGATTTTTAAACTTCTTTGATGTTAACTTTGAGGCTGTGATATTGCACACTTTTCGGAGTGTTATGTAAGTTATTTAAAGTCTATGAAATACAAGAAACGAGCATTTTTTTGGTTCATTTTGTAGTGTAGGGATTCTATGAAAAAATGTGTGCAATCACTTCAGACACATGTATTTATTCTGAAACCATTTGTATTGGTTAAGTTGCCCAGTCAAATTGTGATCCATACCTCTTTAGCAGCATCTCATGTTCAGACTGAGATCCTCTTTTATATTCTTTGAAGGCAGAATTTGAGTGATAAATTTGTACATGCATTTACTGACATCAACACAAATAAATACAATGTTTCAGAGTTGTCATAGAAATGAAGTAGGACAGTACTAGCTTGAGAACCACTGCTGCTTTGCAAGTGACTATTGATGCCATGAATGTTCAGTATTTCAGTAAAAAGATCTGTGGTTTTGAAGACCATGTGGACATATTGTAGTAGACAACAGGAACATCACTTATTCTCCATTAAATTAAATTTTACCTGTGTGTCATAGTTAATTTAAAATTGCTCTGCAACAAGAGAGCTGTATATTTGCCCTTGATAGTTCTTCCATGTAACCACATAGAAAAGAGAATGGTTTTCCTACTCAAGGACCTTCAGACATGCTGTCCATGTAGATTGTAATTAGAGTTTACCTGTTTGTGGTGGTCTTCTTGTCCATTTGTTATTGTTTTGTTTTCTTTTTTCTTTTCCCTACAATAGATTTACTTGTATGCAAATTAAAACACACGTGGATGTCTGGTGTAAATTCACTTGTGCATCAGCTTCAGAGCACACACAAACAGAGTACCTTTTTGATTAAAGCTGCACTGTGGGTCAAGAATCAAATTCAGTCTTCCTCTTTGGACGTTAAAAGGTAATTGGGATGCACATGTCTGCTTCATAATATGTTGTTCTTCTCTAAAACAAAGATCAGTGCTATACTATTTTTTATTTAATGGTCATTTGTATTGCTGAGAGACTTTTCAGCCTGTTGAAGGCGGTGGGCAGAGCAGAAAACCACCACTGGTACAACAGGTATAGAGCGTTGGTACAACATATAGAGCACTGTATCAATGTAGAATACACAGCTTGCTTTTACTGGAGAGTGCCAAACTTGTTTGCAGTGTTTTCTCCTTTTCTCAGTCTTCAGATGTTGATCTCTGCAGTTAGTGATTTGTTGTCAAAGCTCATGGAAGCTGATGGACAATCTGGATACCTTGTGAGAGCTTTTGTTGAGCACGTCACACCGAACAAAACCGAGTGGGGGAAGTTGCATGAGTCTCTATCTACTGAGGTATGGAAATGATAATGGGCTTACCTGGGGTAGTCAATCTTTCCTCAAGCCTCTCTCCCTTAGGGTGGTAAGCATCCTTTCTTCTGACATGGCACTGCAGTTATGAATACCCATATGTCTGTGCAGAGGTTCTTTTCAGCCTCTATCCGTGAAAAAGACAAAATCTCTATGTTTATGGATGCATCCAGTACTACTGGAGAAAATCAAAATTACCCTTTTCTGCATGAAACACAAGCAACTTGCTTAGAAATTCTGGAATTTTTTCTGACAAAATGTACATTGTGAAGATGTACTTTAATTCTTCAAAAAGATTAATTTTGTGAAAGACGCCAATATCTGCAGAGGAACGTGGTGTGCTGACTATCAACAAAATGCTGACATACATATAGTAGAGAGTGGGAAGGACATAAATTTCCTATCCAACCACCCAGCTTCAGTAAACCTAGTATTTCTTGTAAAATATGTAGAATTCTAAAGAAACATATTTGTTTCTGAAGCAGCAAGGCAGTTTCAAATTACTGCTGTGCATTTAGGTTTTTTAATACGCTGGAGTGGGTCACTGTGCTTTTATTGTCAATTTATATGTTTTGTGGTTATTTTTTAGTAATTCTGAATTTTCAAGATTAAAGAGATCATAGCTCTTCTGTGCGTTATTAAAATGCCAGTTATTTGTTCACACTCTTTTTATGCACATATTACAGTGGATACACAAACCTCTTTTGGAAGGAAGGCTTAGTATGAATTGTGAACCTCTGGGATCAAGTGTCAAGCTGTGTGACACAACTAAACTTCCAGGCCATTTGTGTACTTCAGCCTTATTGAGTAAAATGGTTCTTCTTGTGTTGGAAAATGCTGCAGTCCATGGAAATGATGATGCTGAAAGAAAGAAAATTGACAATATAAGTAAGTTACAATGGTAAAACTTAAAGGAATTTTATCTTATAGTAGTTGTAACCTGGATTGATAATTAGAAATGCATAGTTAAAGACTGGCTTACAGGTATGAGAAATTATCCTTTTACCTTTTGTTATTGTTTTGTTTCATTTTGTTTTGTTTTTTTTTCTTCAAGTCTCCTTTAAAAGTGTAAGTATGTACAAATTTAGTGTTTATATCCTTGGGACCTTTTTTGATTATATAAATCCTACCTCAACAGAACTTTCAACTGGGAGATATTTGAATTTTTAATGAGCTTCAAATTTGTTCATTGCCAAAACACACAGTGCATTGGCATGAGTGGTCAATAGGAACTGTATCCCTGCCCTGAGGGTTTAGCCATAATGTAAATATAGTTTGAGGCAGCATATTTTCTTAATTCCACCAGGTGGAATGTAGTTTCTTTTTATTTTTAGAGTGCTCAAATGAAATTAATAATTCTATCTCCAAAAATCTCACCATGATGAGAAGTGTAATTGCTTAGTGTGGGTCTTTGTAAGCTAATGAAGGAACCACATGCTAGCTCTTGTCATCAAATTTGTTTGGTTTTCTTCTGGACTTAGATCTTGATTGTCTTGTCTGCAAGAAGTATATGTCAAAAAAAAAGAGGAGAATAGAGAGGAGTTGTAATTTGTGTCATGCTTGCTTGATTTGCTTTAAAATTTCTTGAATATCTAGAACAGATTACTGTAGCTTTTTGTTTTCTTGTATTTTATGGTACAATGGTAAATATCCAGTTCATGCTCTGAAGCACCTGAGATTGTGTGTAAATATAATACTTTTAATGCATTAAAAACATTAAAAAAAACCAACAAAAACTTGACTTGAAACATCTTGCTTATGCACTGAATATATTCAGCAGTCATTTGTAAACAACAGAAACTGTTGTTTAATTAGTTGCAGAACTGTTGTACTCCTTACAATGGATTGAAGAACTAGAGAATCCTCCTTCCTTGCTTCTGGAATATCTTCATATGTTAGAAGAGATGCACATCACATACAAGAAGTTCAGTACACTAAGTAATACAGCTGGTCTTCAGCAAACTATATTTGATAGGTGAGTACAAGTAAAACAACTCTTAACTCTGTCTTCACATTTTGTGTTGTATAGAGTATTAAGTGCCACTATATTTCCTTCTCTGTGTTGATTCAAACTTCATCCAAATGCTTTTGTGGTGCTCTGAGCATCTGTATATATTAACCAGGGTCTTTCCTCTTCTTTGAAGATCAGAGGAACATGGAAGACTGTGGTCCTTAACCGTGGCTAAAGTGATCCGTGCAGAAAACACTGTATCCTGGGAGAGGAGAGAACTTTTTAAGACAACAGAAGGGTATCTTAATACTACTGCCTCTAAACTTCCAGTTTGTTGTGAATGTTGATAATGTTAAATAATCCTTATTCTGACAAATGACTACTGAGGACTGAAAATTAAGTGCTATATGTGTGTGGCATATGAAAGTGAGACTGCGTTTTAGTGTGTGGGATTAGTTACATCAGAGGATATTAGATCACTATGAAACAATTTACATTTTGTTTCCTAGTTAAATTTTTGGGTTCATTTCATTCTTGATGTTTTGCTTGTATTAATAGGTTTCTGCCATTAACAGAGGGCAGATTGCATACACTTCAGTGTTTATCACCTTTCTTAACTGAGGAAGAAAAGAGAGAACTTGTCTTCCACTGTGTGGCTAAACTTATGACATGCACACAGACAGATCTTTCCAGCACTGATGGTGAGTATGTTCTTACCTCCCTCAGTCTAGTTCATTAGAATTTAAGAACGCTATTTTGTAATAATGTTTGCTTTTAGGTAAAATGTTTTAACTATAGTAATATTATTTTTTCCAGAAAGAAATCTTTTCTCTGTTGCATATTTCTTTCAGACAGTTTTCTGCCTTATTCAGAAAGTATAAGCTATACTGCCTGGTACAAAATTTGAACTAAAGGACTTAGGCTGAATTGTTAAAAGCATTTTAATATTGTTGTACTTCTTGTGTGGTCTATCTTATTTAAACACATCTGTAAATATCAAAGTTTTCAGTTAACCATTTAGGCTTTACACAGTATGCAAAAATATTACTATTGTCAACTGGCAGTGTCATCATTGTCTTCAGATGCTTTGGCAAGAACTCTTTCATGGTTTACATACAATTTTTGAGTAGTTCCTCCAGTGCATGGCATGCAGTGTGCTCAGTCAGAACTGCTCTACATACACCTACAGCAACTGTGGAAAAATTACTTAAGAGGTGATTGAGATGTGTTATACTATTGCTTTGAATATACCCACTTAATTTGGGTCTATATTTTCACAAACTTGTTGCTTTTCAAGAACATTATTTAGAAATGTTCACACACATTTATGAATTTGATGTAATTTAAAAGTACTTTCTATTTTTTTCCAGTACTGCTTTTGTATGTTTTTGCACATACTGTTATTGATCAGTCTGTATAAAAACTGAAATATAGGTTTTGTCTTTTTTAACAGGACTGTGCTTCCTTAAATTGAAAAAACACCCTATCTTTGGTGACTTTAAACTGTGGATATCTGTCCCTTGGCAGTGTCCTCAGGATTTCAGATGAATTCTTCAAATGGATGTCCTTAAAGTGTGAAAATTTTCAGTGTTAGTGTCATGCAGCAATTGAGAAGAATCTTAAAAATCCTTCTGCTATGGTAGTTTCCCTAACTCTTACTCTTTGAACTTAGTTAAGCCTTCTTGGCTTTCTAAGTGAACCAGTGAGGCAAAAATTGTGTCTGTGAAACTCTAAACAGAATAAAATGGGAAAAAGAATCCTCACTCCTCATATGCTGTGGAGTGCTCCTATTTGTAATCTGCATTTCCTTTCTGCTGCTTCACAGTTTTCTAGGGATTCTTGAGCAGACCACATATATCCAAATTCACATTAAATGAGAGATAGGCTGTTGGCTTACCATTCCAATGGTCTTTTTCTTTTCAGGTCAGAAAAGTGCTGGTAAAGTTGTTGTAAATTGTTGCTCAGCTGTTTAGGTGAAGCAGGGGTTTGGTTGGTTGGTTTTGCTATGCCTTTGTGGTACGTTGCCTTATTTCTTTGTCATCGTGCTTGTAGGAAATGTTCATCTTCTCCAAGAAATCGAGATAAATGCAGTTTTTCTTAAGAATGGAAAACAGTACTATTGCAACAGTAGTACTTCACTCTGAAAGTAAAAATTAACATTCCAACAAGAACTCAAATTAACACGCCATTAATACCAGAATTCACAACTCGCAGTTGCATTTCCTTCACTATCTGTCCAAATTATTGCTTAGCATACTACATTTTTAGTAACACAAAGAGATTTCAATCTTAGCAGGTATTTTTCCTTTTTGTTAATTGTATAAACTATCAATTAATCTTCTAGAAGGTGGTTTGTGGTTTTTTTTTTTTTTTAAATTTGCGTTGGATATAGTATTTCTGATTTAACAATGGCATCTGTGGATTACATGTTCAAAGAAGAAAGCTTAGGTATTATCCAAACTGTCTTATGATGTTAATGTTAAATTCAAATAAAATGATTCAGTCATTTGACACACATTTTAATATTTGTTTTGTCTTGATAATTAAGACTATTGAATATGTATTTTTACTGTATTATAGGAGCATTTGGGTGTCTTTCCATTTTGAACTCCTGCCTGAATGATAGAAGTGTTGATTGTGATCATCTACTACCTGGAATACTGAAAATAATAATATCTTGGAAAAATGATAATGAGGACAGCTTTCTCTTTAGCTGGTGGGTGCAACTTGGAGATAATTTCACTTTTTTTCATTTCTAAGACAAGCATTTAAAAATACGGACTAGTTATTAACTCAGACAAAATCAATCTGTACATTACAACTGCCATCCACTGTTCTATTATTACATATTTAAACTTTTGTAGAACTGCATTCTGTAGTTTCATACACCTGTCTTTAGGTATTTAATAACTCATACTGCAGAAAATTACCTGGATGGTTGAAGACTGGGAAACTAAGGAGTTATTTAAATGCACCTAGGTGTCAACTGTTTTCAAAAGCATTTAGAACTGAACAGCTTTTGTAAGTGTTGCTGGATATCAGTTCTCAATTCTGATTGCTTATTTCAGTAGCAGGAAGAAAACCTGGATACCAGAATTAGATGTCTGTCTTAAAATTCTGGACCCAAAAATGTAACTTGAAAAGCTTCCAGCAAGGAGTGAAGATATACTAGCATTCATTTGTCTTGACTATAGTGAGAAAAATCCTGGCAACGAAGTCTCAGAACAATCATAGAACCATAGAGTGACCTGGGTTGGAGGGCACTGTAAAGCTCATCTCATTCCACGCCGCTGCCAGAGGCAGGGACACCTTCCACTGCACCAGGTTGCTCAGAGCTCCATCCAACCTGGCTTTGAACACTTCCAGGGATGGGGCAGCCACAGCTTCTCTGGGAGACCTGTGCCAGGGCCTCACCAATATCTAATCTAAACTTATAATGTACAATATTTGGACACTTATAATGTACAGTATTTGAAGACTTGAGGGCTTATATTTTTTCTTAAATTATTAACTTAAAATTATTATTTTCCTTGCATTGATTTAATTGAAATTGCTAAATTTCATAGGTTATGTAAATATATTACTCGAGCGAATGTGTAAATTTTAGAAATCTGTAATTTAGGAATCTTATGTAGTCTTGGCAGCTAATGTAGCATTCAGCCTTTGATAGACAGAGTATCAAAAGCACATAGGGCAGAGTGTGGTGGTGCCAGACTTAATTTGTCATGAGAGGAGGAGTGAAGGCAAGGATATAGATACTCATATCTGCAACATGAAGGTACATAAGCTTTGGCTGTATTTTTATTACAGCAATCTGAAAGAAACAAGTGCTCAGTTGCTTGGTTTGAACATTGAGATGATCCGTTACTTTCCCTTGTTGCTGAAGTATTCCACAGCTCCTTTGGCCGATAGTGAGTGGGACTTCATCATGTGCTCCATGCTGGCTTGGTTAGAGGTAATGTGAAAGCATCCTCACTTTTGATGTGGTTATCTTTTTTGATCATTCCCTGCATATGGCAGGGACACTTGTAATCTCAGTTTAACAAAAATTTGACACAACGTTAAAAAGAATTGCATTAAGTCCTGTGTGTGTTGGGCTTTGACAAAGGTCATGTGTAGTTTAAAAGGTGTACTCTCCTGTTTCTTATTGTATATTGAGATGAAATCAGCTCACTCTTCAAGTAAGATGGTATTTAATAATGTCATTGGTAATTGGAGAATAATTTTGAAATATGTCTGTTCATAGAATCATAGAATCGATCTTGTTGGAAGCGACCTCCGAGATCATCAAGTCCAACCCTTGATCCAACACTGCCGTGGTTACTGGACCATGGCACTAAGTGCCACATCCAGTCTCATCTTAAAAACCTCCAGGAATGGTGAATTCACCACCTCCCTGGGCAGCCCATTCCAATGTCTGATTACTCTCTCTGTAAAAAATTTTTTCCTAACATCCAACCTAAACCTGCCCTGGCACAGCTTAAGAACGTGCCCTCTTGTCCTACTGCTGGTTGCCTGGGAGAAGAGACTGACAACCCACCTGGCTACGACAGATGTTGTAGATCTCTGTGTTGAAAAATAATATTCCTTTAAGACCAAAGTCTAACATGATACATAAAAATTAACTGAATAAAAAGCACTATCTGCATTTCAATGTCTAACTAATCACATGAAATATCAAAACTATATTCTAGCGCTGCTAGGAAACAGGTCAGTAGTCAGCTGACTACTTCCTGATTAAGCAAATAAAGATACAGAATCTCTCACTCTGTTATTATGCACTTAGAAGGGCAGGCTGGAAACTTCCATGTGACCATTCTTGCATGTGCCTCAAAACTATCTTTTTTTCTTTTTTTTTTTAAATTTAAAAAACAAATAATAAACTTGTGTGAAAATCTTGTGTAGACTAAGTGCTTCGGAATATTTTTAATGTATAATGATATTCCTTTTTGGGGGAACTAGTAAGAAGAAAAATAAAAAAAAGAAGAAATGTTGGGCGAAAAGAAATATTTTTTCAACAGCCACTTCAATAATTTCTAGTTTTTAATAGCATGTTGTCAATTCCCTTTTGCAATTTGGAAATGCAAATATGATATTGGTAAAGCTTTTATGTTTGAGAGAGAATAGTGAAAGCACTTCACAGATCAGTTTTGTCTCATTGGACTGCACAAGTGCTCCAGGTGTGGTACATTCCTGTTTGAATTTTCTTTCTGTCATTATAAAGAAGGTTATATAATGGAAGCAATACAGGATTCTAAATGTTGGTGAGACTTTGGCATTAATTTCAGGAAGTCTTACTAGAGTATAATTTACATTTTTAAACACAGCCCGCCACCCCAAATAATTTTCAAATGGTCCTTGCAATTGAATCTTCTTTGAACTTATGCTTTCTGGTGTAAACAGGGAATGTGAAACATACTTTAAAGCAAATTTATGGTTAAGAAATCTTTCTCTTTGTCTATTTCCTCCTAGACAACAAGTGAAAACCGTTCCCTTTATCATGTCCCGCTTGTGCAGATTTTTGCTTGTGTTAGTTGTGACTTGGCATCTGCCCTTAGTGCTTACTTTGAAGCTGCAGCTCCTGAAACTACTGAAAATCTCCCTAAGAACTTGCTCAGTGAATGGAAAGAATTCTTTTCTGAGGGAATTCACAATTTGCTGTTACCTTTGTTGGTGAAAATCACAGGCAAGTATATGGCAAAGAGGGCAATAGCCAGGCTGTTCTGAAATAGAACTGAGTGGGCTGTATTTTTGAATTTATAGGAATGTTATGTCAATATAGTTTATAAAAACTCAGATTTTTTAACACTTACATGCTAATTAGGAAAGTAATTGCACTTAACCTACTGATTCTTAAGATTAGATGGGTGCTGCTAAGTGCAGTTTGAGTTATTTCCAGCAATGCTTGTTTGTGATATCATCCACACGTTTTGCATCACGGCTTCTCTTGTTTTATGTAGGAGAAACCAAAAATGCATCAGAAGGTTCTTTTCAGAACTCTGTGTTAATATCTTTGGGTGAAGCTCTAACTTACATATCGAAGGACCAGTTGTTAAACCATAAACTGCCACCGAAGTTTGTTGCAGGCCAGAAAACAAATCTTCCAGATAATCTCCAGACTCTGCTGAATACATTGTCTCCACTGTTGCTTTTTCGGGCTCGACCTGTACAGATTTCTGTCTACCACATGCTGTATAAGTAAGAATCAACAAATTTTGCACTTCCTTCACCTCTCACCCCACCCTTTATTTTTTAAATGTGCTGTAGAACGTGCACTTATAGCTGCATGTTTAGCAAAACCATTATGGGCAAAAATTCTTAACTGGGCAATTTGTGTTCTGTATTGGAGAACAGTATATAAAACTATGAATGCTAAATTTAATTGTAAAAGCAGACTTAGTATATACTGAGAAATTTTACTGCAGTACATGAAGATACAATTTTATTTTCTTTATCATAGTTAGATAGATATCAGTATCATAATTGTAAAGCTATTTATTTTTACCCCAAAATGAATCCTAAAATGTAAACTGAAGTGTTCCAGGTTTGATTAGCATCTGACACGATCATTAAATAGTATGACCTTTTTATTTTCACTAATTTAGATAAGGCATTAAGAAAGTGAATAAAAATAGGTAGTATTCTTGTGAACTTCTTGGATATCTCTAATACCTAAAGAGAGAATACAGAATTTGAAAAATAAGATGTGCAATAGCTTTATTCTGATAGAGAATTTTATTTTATTTTAGCATGTCTCAGGAAATGTAAGAGATCTGGAAAAGAACTGAGCAAGGCTATGTGCTCATTCATGTCACTTATGAACCCTCTTTGCAATGGTGACATGTCTCTTAAAGATTCTGTGTTGTTGTTAAGGAATAATTGCCATTATTTTATTGCCTGTCAGTAACACATCACATATATTAAAATAATTTATTAAAATAATTTATTAAAAATTATTTAAAAATTAAATATGATTTTCTTTCCATATTTCTATAGATTAATGCCTGAATTGCCTAAATTTGATGACGAAAATCTCAAATCCTATGGTGATGAAGAGGAGGAACTGGCATTGTGGGTATTTTTTTCCTCATTTTTTTAAGACTTTTTTCCATATTTTTAAAATGTGTTCTAAGATTGAAATATGCAGTAGAGTAGTCATCTGTCAGAAGAAGTTAAAAGAAAAGAATTACATGGCTATGACAATAGAGTCATAAATATTTAAAATATTCAATATAATTGGTTAAATCTGCCTTTGCTAAAACTGGAGACAGTATTTACAATTTTTTTGGGTAAAGTTACTAGACTGAATGCCATAGATATGCTTTATACTGGAAAATCTTGACAGATTTTTACTTTTATTCAGAATGTGTCCATCTGCACAGGTAACTTGAAAGGTATTTGAAACTCCAAAATCAACCTGAGTGTTTTATACAGCTTGAATCCAATAAAATCTATGGTTTGAAGTGGGTAACTGCTTAAAATTCATTTTATAACCTCAGCCTAATGATTAATACCTTTCCTAACTGTGGATCTGCAGAGGGCTTTTTAATCCAAACCCAGCAGTGATTAGGAGATCCATTGTTCAGTTGCTCCTTTGTTGGTGTGATAAGAAAGCAAGCAAAGCAGCTATCCATGATGTAGGTTAAATCATCTCAGCCATAGACCCCTTCCAGATTAAGCAATCAGCATTCAGTTTAAATTTGTCTTGTAAGAAGGTATAAACACCAATTAAAAAATCCCTATATAGTACTGGTGTGTGAATTTGAAAGTAAATTTTCCTGTAATAAGAGGCCCCTTTTTATGTTCTGCATGCATGGCTTTCCTACCACGACTTTCTAGGAAGGCTATGAACATAAATTCAGTTAATGCTGTGCTCAAGATTGGAGTTTACTATTCCAGATAACATTTTTTCTGTAGATCACCTCCAGCAGCTCTTATGTCTATCCTGGCCACTCAAGAACTCTTGCTAGAAAACATCCTGGAATGCATTCCAGTTGGAGAATTTGCAGTTATTCAGCCCCTGAGTGATGAGTTCTGCCTTGTTCTGGGATATCTTCTCACCTGGAAGTTAACATTAGCTTTCTTCAAAGCAGCTTCTTCTCAGGTAATATGTTCAGTCTTTTCATTTTAACTGAATTTCTTAAACTACTTATTTAGTTTGAATCTTGAAGTTTCATCCACCCTTCTTATTAATTATGTAATCCTACCTCTTGTTTTTGTGGAATTGGTGAAATTCTGAAAGCATCCCTGGACTTAAGATTTCTGCACTGCTATAGTTGAGGGTGGTAATATTAAGAGGAATGAAGAATTAAGATTCATTAATAGATGATTCTTTCTTGCATTTTCAAGCAAGCTTGCTACATATTACGATCTTCTAATCATTCAAAATGGTGCAGAGGACTAAATTGCTCTTCTGAACACTTGTTCTGAATCACAGTCTTGCTTTTCTTCCCTGCAAGGACATATTTGTATCATGTACAGAATAAGCTATATTTATAAAGTGTGTTTTGTATTTTTTGTGTATTTTTTTTAATGGTACCAGCTGCGAGTTCTCTACTCACAATACCTTAGAAGAACTAAAAGCTTGAACAAACTGCTTTATCACTTGTTCAGGCTTATGCCTGAAAACCCTGTCTTTTCTGGGCCAACTTCAGAAGTTTCAAATAAGGACACAAAAACCTTCTTTACTGAAGAGCTTCATTTAGATGTTAAAGGTTAGTAAACATTGTATTTGTGTATTTGAGAGAGCTGTTATATTGCAGAAGTTTAAATATGTTTTTTTTTGCTTAAAAATACTTATTTAGAAAATCTTACCTATAAAACAGATACAGAGAGACAAATATATACATATGTTTAGACATCTTTGGCTAACACTCCCCATTTGAAACTTTATCAAAGTTGAAATGTTTATCAGAAAAATCAAGGACAACAAAAAACAGGAATAATATGTTGCTACTATTGAAATCTGAATGTAAAGATTCCAAAACACTAAAAATGTGTGATCTATTCTGGGACCATTGCTTCTAGATATATCTTTTTAATGCTAAATAGAATTTCCATTTTTTCTTGTGTTTCAATATATAAATACAAAAAATTAAAAAATACTTTAATATATATATTTTAAATGTTTGAGACGCGGTGTTGTTTTTTTCATGCTGTTCTGAAGACCCAGTTAATCAATGATGATGAAAGAAGATACACTGCTTTTTTTTTAGCTGAGAAACATGAAAAAGAGTATTAGTTTTTAAAGTTACTTCATTGAAGTTTTTATTTTATGTACTTGTGTAGGTATAAGCAAAGAAACTGAGTTTCCACTTCTTAATTTTTTGCTTCAACATCACTATGTTGCAGAACAATTTATCTGGATGACAGTTAAGAAAGAATTACTAACATGACAACCCAAGGGAAAGATTTCCCTTATCTCATTATAGAGTCAGTAAGGTGGAAAAGACCTCCAAGATCATCCAAGTTCAACCTTTGATCAAACACCACCGTGCCCACTAAACCGTATCACTAAGTGCCCTGTCTACTTGTTTTTTGAACATGTCCAGGGATGGTGACTCCACCACTTCCCTGGGCTGCCTGTTCCAATGCTCAAACACTCTTTCAGTGAAGAATTTTTTCCTAATATCAGTCTGAACCTCTGTTGGTGCACCTTGAGGCCATTTCTATGCATGAACACTGCAAACCTCAGCTGTTCTCCAAACATCTTATTGCTTGTTCGCTCCAAAGTGAGCATTTTGTAATTTCTATAATATAAAATTATTCTTGACTTATGATAGTCCACATGTGAATTTTGAGGTGTGAAGTATTAAGCTAAGAAACAAAGAAACCAGCCTAGGGAAGAACAGCTGAGTCAAACAAGCCCTCAGAGCAGCAATAATAGGAACATGTATGTGAAATTCTGGTTACCACAGTTCTTTTGAGATCATAATTTTTGTGTGTGGTGTGGAGGCACCAACATCCATGACTAATGTGTTAAGAGTATTTGAGCATCCTTTCTTATCCTCCCTGGGACAGGAGTGCTGTCATCCCAGATTCCGCACTTGGCCTGCTCTGTGTACCACATAACGCTGAAAGACTTGCCAGCCATGGTCAGGCTTTGGTGGAATAGCTGTGAAAAACGTGTCTTCAATGTTGTAGATAAATTTACAAGCAAATACGTCAGCAGCGTCCTTTCTTCCCAGGAAATATCTTCTGTTCAGACCAGCACACAGTTGTTCAATGGCATGACGGTTAGTAACACTTTTTGTCCTTTCTTTTTATTTGCTTCAGTTTGTCGCAAACATTTAAAGAAATCTGACTTCTCATAACCAGACTGTGGTTCTGAGCGTTTTATATGATTGCATTTTTGTTGTTCTAAATGACTGATGAAACATAGTTTTGCTTGGTATCAATATATTAAATTGATGTTTATTAATATTCTGTTTAGAAAAAAAATGAAAGAATGGGTTTCAGGATGTTGGAGAAGTTGAGGAAGTGGAAGATACTGTTATCAATATACTACTTTTTGCTTTTTAAAAAAAATGTAACCCATCAGTAGATTGGAAAATGGCTGGTAATTTCCTTTTAGTTTGCCAAGATATAAGTAGATTTTTGTTTTCTTTGAGAAAAGTGTTTACCTGGTCTAAGAAAATTATTTCATGCGTACAGTAACATATTTATAGTTTATATGATCTATGTATAAAGACTAGAGATGGTGAGTATCTCTCTGGAGTTTTTTTAATATGTGCATTTTTTTCATAGGTAAAAGCTCGGTCTGCAGCACGAGAAGTCATTGCTACCTACTCAGTTGATGATATCTTTATTGAACTAATAATACAGCTTCCACCAAATTACCCACTGGGATCCATAACAGTTGAGAGTGGAAAGAGGGTTGGTGTGGCTGTTCAGCAGTGGCGTAATTGGATGCTACAGTTAAGCACATACCTTACACATCAGGTGGGTTTAAAGAAAGCTCCTAGTTTTGAAAACTTAAAAGTCCATATAATAGAAAAATATTCCTGGTAATGCAATATTGTATAGATCTGGATAATGGATCTCATCAGTTGATCGCAAAGCACTTCATAGGATTCAGGTCACTCTTACCATCTGCTTTTTTCCATATGCTTAAACAGAGGTAAAATGATCAGCCTGCTAAGTCCTGTTAAATCCATAGCCTGAATTGAAAATTCACTCTTAAGACACGGGCCAGTGTTTGCCCCATGTGGCAATGCCATCTCAACTATAATTTGAAAAAAACCCCAAACAAACAACACCAAAAAAAAAATCAAACCTGAAAACCCAGTCCATGAAAGTCTTTAAAAGACTGGTGGTTGCTGAAGTTGCATCATCTGTGGTTTAACAAAGTAGTTATTGAAAATTTTAAAATCCCCTTTTAAGTGCTCCTAAATGCATTCTACCTCTGTGATGAATACTCACATTTCTGTAGATTAGACTATCATAAATTACTCACTGCATGTATTGCACATAATTTCAGATTATAAAGCCTTCAGGCTTTGTTTTCTTCATGTGTTGATGAATAATAGTAGGAATAGTCCGAAGGAATTCTACAGTATTAACAGCTCTTTTTCCTCTGTTAGAATGGAAGTATTATGGAAGGCTTATCTTTGTGGAAAAATAACGTTGATAAACGTTTTGAAGGCGTTGAAGATTGCATGATCTGCTTTTCAGTCATTCATGGTTCCAACTATTCTCTTCCCAAAAAAGCTTGCAGAACATGCAAGAAAAAGTTTCATTCAGCTTGCTTGGTAAGTACCTTGACTAAATCTTTTTAAATAGGCAAAATATCCTGGAATCAGAGCAGTTTGGGTTGGAAGGGACCTTATAGCTCATCTAGTTCCAACCCCCCTGCCATAGGCAGGGACACTTCCACTAGACCAGGTTGCCCAGAACCCCATCCAACCTGCCTATCCATATAGTTTAAACCATCTAGTTTAAACTTCTAGTGTAGTACCATCAATTTTCCACTTTGTCACTGGAGTATCTGGGATTAACTGAACTCATAAATTATCTCTGGATTTTGTACTAAGACATAAGGACATGTAATGAGAGGGGCTCCTACAGAGTGTGTGTGTAATATGTGTATATACAAATACATATGTATATATACACATGCATACATGCACAAGTGGAAAGGGTTTTTTTTAAAGTATAGTTAATGTTTTGGTAGTTATATTCATTGGCAAATAATGATTATTATTGATGTACAGCGTTCCTGATATTCAGCTTGCATTTGTATATTAAACAGCTGTATTTCTTTTTTCAGTACAAATGGTTCACATCCAGCAACAAATCCACGTGTCCACTCTGTCGAGAGACATTCTTCTGAAATAAAACTGTCTTTCTTCTTTCTGTGAGCTAAATAACATGAAGAGCAGGCGATAAACTGTATGTTGAAAGAAGCTAACTCCTTGGAAATAATGTCAGTTACTTTAAATTCTTCACCAGTGGAATATGACACATATTTACCTCTGGACTGTTGTTTTTGTAAGTTTGAAGATTCTTCTTTGATATAAAGAAACAGATAACAATAATTTATTTTAATTGGTATATTTTTAAGATATGTTAAAAATTTCAGAAATAATGCAGAGTTATGTCTGAAAAAGTGGTGTTTAAGCCACAGCATAGTTGATTAAAACCTCTTATTTTAGGCATATTCTAACATGGTGTTATGTAATTAACCCAGATCATACCTCTTAATATAACAGGTGAATATAAAAGAGGTGGTATAAAGACTTGATTTTTGATTATGATGCATTCATAATAGTCCCTCTTATGGAGGAAAAAAAAATGTTGTTGCTGTTAGACATTAAGGCATGAAACTACAGTGATAATCTTCTGTTAAAGCATAAAATTTAAACATAGCCTGTTCTAAATTAACATGTTTATAAACTGAAGTTTCCCTTTAACAGTTTCTTTTTCCCAAAACTCCTCAGCCATCCAGCAGCCTAAAAACATGAAAACTCAGAAGCCCAACTAAGTAGAGAGAGCACAATCATTCCTGCATGACAATGAATAACACCATCTATTTATTGCTGATTGGCTTCTAAAGAGAAGGCATAGACACTTATCAATCTTTGTTTCTCTTCATTAGCTGGCAAATTAGCTATCGCTGAATGTCCACTGTACTTCCACTGTCCTATAATAATAAGGACTGTAAGTGAATATACAGATGTATCTGAATTTAATAGCTTTCAACTATACATTTTTTCATGCCTTCTTTTTTTTAACAGCGGTAGCATACTAATATATTCCAACCTGGATGATATTTGTGGTGGATTTCTTTGAAAAGTCAATAAAAGGGGGGAATAAATAAATTTTGTCAATCTCTGTAGTCTCTGGATTGCTGTCTCTTCCTCTGTGTGATAAACTTTCAGGCATTAATAGTATAAATTTTAGGTTCTGTATGCTTTCTCAAAGTTGGTCACTTTTGAAGTGACAGCTCTAGGAATGATTTTAGCTGTTGATAACTGAAGTCTATATTTTTAACAGGTAAGACTGGGCTTACAGAGGAGAAATTCCTTGACAATTTTTTTGAGAGAATGGAAAGGATTTAACACTGGTATTGAAAAGGTCTAAGTGAAATGACAGAGTAGGTAGAGCTGTATTGTTTCATAGTTACTGATGCTAAAATTCCAGGATTGTCTCAGTTGCATCACTGGTTATTCTCTTTACAAGGTCAGTAACTGACTTGAAGGCCAGCTGGGGTTAACCAGGTAATGCTTGAAAAGAGCCATGTTAGACTCTTCTAGCAGACCTTAACAAATGCTAAGTGTACATACACACATCTGTAGATGGCAAATTTCAAAATTGAAAAAAAATTACCTGTTGTGTCTACTAGTTCCCAGTCTTCACCAGGGTGATGGGAGCATAACAGGGATCACCTCTGGCAGAACTCACCTACGTTCTCATTTGGAGTGCATTTCGAGAAGTACTTCCACCAAAGCTGCAGCAGACCAATTGGAGAATTGGTTCTCCACCAGGAGAACTGCCTCATGAATTATTTAAGTGGATGCATGTATTTCCTTTTCCAAGTAGCCAGTTGTTAGATAGTTCAGTGCAATCATTCTTTTGTTCAAAGCATGTTGTTTTATTACACTTTCTGTTCTGATTTTTGTTATTCTGTCCTTTATAACTTAAAACTGCACACACTGTTGAGTGTTGTGATCTAATGTGCCGGATGACTGCTCTCTTTTTATCTTTGATTACCTATTTTAAAAATAATTCTTTAGTGATAACTAAAATCTAGACAGTTTAATTAAAACTCCCTTTTGTTAAACACGTAGCTTAATTCTACTGCATGTTTTGATTGCATCTTAAAATCCTCTGATTAGCCAAAGCAGTCAACACTGTAAAACTTCTAGAGGGGTCTATGGCTGTGACAGCATTTTGGTTCATTCAAACAGCCCTGTGCCTATAACATCAAATCCCATGATTCTACAGAAAGACAAAATTGTGCATAAAACCTCTTCTAACAGTTTTGTAAGGGGAAACTGAAGCAAAAAAAAAAGTGTGGCTTTGCTAAGGTCTGTCATCAAGTCAAAAAGGTTCTAGAAGTAGGAAGCAGGCAAATTGCAATATAGCTTCTCAGAAGTGACTAGCTGGTCACTACAAAATCAAAACTTTGCTTAAAATCTTCAGTGTGGAAACACTTCATATCACGTATGGCACAAAGTTTCTCTTAACAAGTTATTCAGAATGTAAAAGAAAGTCCTGAGTCAAGCCTCACTTTGGTCAAGGAAATGCAATTTTTTTTTAGCCTCAGTAGTTTCAAGAACTGTAATTTCTAGTATATTGTATAAATGTTAAGCAACACCTTTATCATGACTGCATCTTCCTTCTAAACCCTCTTGTTGTGTGTTTGTGTTCACATTCATGTTCATTCATATAAAAACAAATGGACAGAAAAGCTACTGAAGGGAGCTGTTAGCTGTGTCTGAATTGTTGAATTGACTTGCAGCCTTGTTCTTCAGTGCCTGCTAAGCTGGGGAACGGCAGCTCTCAAGAGTGTAAAACAATCTCCACTGCACATTTCCTGCAATTCAGTCCTTTTTTCTATCTTCTTCAGGATGGTTTAATTTTTATGCCAGACTGGCCTAAGTTGACTTTTGACCTATATGAGCTTCTTTGCAGTCAAATACCTCAAGTGGCATAGAAAGGCATGTCTGTGCTAACAGCACCTCCGCTTCTGCCTGTCTAAACCCTCCTTTTTTCAGTCTCCTGAAGAAGTTTTTTTAGGTCACTGCAGAGGAAAGCTCTCCACTGGGGTCTGTTGGTCAGGAAATACTTCCCTATTTTGGATAGTGATTTTGAGAAAGGACTTTTATTCCAGTTCTCTACTTCCTTGCAGTCATTGTTTTCAGTTACCCAGGAACTAGACTTTTTTAACTGCATGCTTTTTTCCTCCTTAATACCTTTTCATGGATGACTACTCTTCATCTAGATTACTCCATAGTAGTATCCTCCTTCTAAAATGGCATAAAAGGGAGCACAATCACCATGTTACTGCCCAGAAGACTTCAGGAAAGGAATAGCATGCCTTGAATCATAGAATTGTTAGGGTTTAAAAGACCTTTAAGATCATGAAATCCAACCAACCCACCACCACTTCCATGTTCACTATTAAACCATGTCCTCAAGTGCTATATCCACATGTTTTTTGAACATTTCCAGGGATGGTGACTCCACATTTCCCTGGAAGTCTATTCCAAAGCTTGACAACTCTCTGTGTGAATTTATTTTTTTTTTAATACCTAATCCAAACCTCCCCTGGCACAACTTGAGGCTTTTTCCTCTCATCCTGTCACTTGTTACCTGTCAGAAGAGGCCAACCCACACCTGGGTGCAACCTCCCTTCAGCGAGTTGTAGAGTGACAAGGTGTCCCCTGAGCCTCCTGTTCTCCAGCCTAAACACCCCCAGCTCCCTCAGCTGCTCATCAGACTTGTCCTCCAGACCCTTCCCCAGCTCCCTTGCCCTTCTCTGGATATGCTTCAGCACCTCAACATTCTTCCTGAACTAAGGGGCCCGAAACTGAATCCAGGATTTGAGGTGTGGCCTCACCAGTGCCCAGCACAGGGGGACAATCACTGCCTTGGTCCTGCTGGCCACACTATTGCTGACACAGGCCAGGATGCCACTGGGCCTCTTGGCCACCTGGGCACACACACTGGATCATGTTCAGCCACTGTCAACCTGCACCCCCAGGTTCTTTTCTGCTGGGCAGCTTTCCAGCCACTCTGCCCCCAGCCTGCAGCACTGCAGGGGGTTGTGGTGACCCAAGGGCAGGACCTGGCACAGGAAAGACACTTGCTTCACCTTTCTGTTCAGAAGTACACCATTTCCTTCTGACAGAAACAAACCTGCTCATTGTGCCTTAGACCTGTAAAGGTGCCTGATACTACATCAAAAGGAGTACCACGGATTCAAAGTATTCCTTTAAACCCAGCATAGCTACAAACTAGCTATAAAAACAGGAGGAATTACATCAAGTACGTTATTACAACAAGACACAATGACAAATATACAAATATTTATAGAGGAAAAAGCCTTTGGTGCTTAAGTGCAAATGCAGCAGGGTGGGTTACTTCATGGTTCCTCCGCAACTGCCCTGCAGATAGCCAGAGGATAACTGTACCTCTGCCAGCAGACAACAGCTGGTTCACATCCAGAATAAATATAAATACAGAGTCTTGATCAGTCTCACTGCAGTAATCAGGAAGTGAGAGTACACCTCAAGAAGGTCAAAAATCTTGGTTTAAAAATTATTTGACAACTTCAGTGTTCAGCTGACAATTAGATGTTCAACTTTCTGCATGCCTACTCCCTGGAAGGTGAAGAGAAATTATCAAGACTTCCTAAATTTGAGGATAGTCAGCTTCTCTTGTCCTGCTTGCCTGGAAAGTACTTGTATGCCTTCTAAGCCACTTTTCTTCATTGTTTCCAGAATTTCATCTGTAATTGAAAGTTCAGTGTTTACAACTGAATTACAAACTGGTTATAAAGTATCTGTCAAACATAAATTGTAAAGCAAAGATTATAAACTATGTCCTCTTATTCTTTCAGACAGTAATTTTTATGCAAAATAATCTCCCACCAAGAATAAAGCTTACAATTTACTACCTGAAGTTCAGTATTTTGCTATTAATAACAAAGAAAAATTCTGTATGAAGCTAAACTGTAGGAGAAAGGAAAAAGGAGATTTTGCAGCATCATCTCCCAAAAGCTGCCTAATAAATCAGGGGTGAAGAATAATCTTTCTTCTTAAAATTACTTGATAACTTGTAGCCATTAGCATTAGATCAGAAGAAACAAGCCCAAATCTTTTCCCTACACCTTTAAAATGAAAGACATCACATTTCCAGCTAAGGGCTTTTGTCTTTTAAGTTAACACCACTGTTCTCTTCCATGAGAAAGGATTGGCCTGGCTTTGTTAATTAGTTCAGAAGATTTACAGTCACCTCTCAGACTTGGAACTGAACTCTTGCAGAGCTGCTAGGATCCTACATACTACCATTTTCCAAATTAGCTTGGGGAGGTCTTAGTTTTGATAAATTTGCTTGTATTTTTGGTCTAGCTGTGATCAATATTTTGATTAATAGTGTTAAAACTGGTTTGGCACATTTAAATGTCCAAGGACAGTGATCACCTGGATTATTTTCTTTAATTGTGACCAAGTAGAATAATCCTCCTGGTGAAAGTAGGTCTGGTACTAACGGGAAAACTCTATCCATTACCTCTCTGCCCTGTTTGCCACCAGCCCAGGATACCTCTATTCCATGGCCTTTCACCTAGGAAGAATGAAAACAAAGACTGTCATAACATAGAATGATAGAATTGTCACTGGTACTTGTAAGAGAATCATCACTATAATCTCTAGCTTTAGGTGTCTGCCATTAGAAGTCTGACAATTTTGATTCAGCGGGTTAGTTTATGCAGCAAATTACTTCAAGACTACTTTCTACAGGATGAACATACTATTTTGTTTCAAGTTCTATTCTTAAACTAAATTAAAAGAGCTACATTGTCACATACTTTGTATGTATTTTCTTGTAATGTTTTATGAGCTTGTTTGCCAAGTCAGAGGTGGTCAGAAAACCCCTGAAGTGTTTATGGGTCAAATTCTTAAAGTAGGAGTCTGCAGAAGCAGAGGATTTTTATTCTGCAGGAAACAAATGCATTTTCAGTTGAAAGTCTTCTATAAGAATTCCTTAGCATGCCTAACAGAAGTCCTACATGGTTTATACTTGATGGAGGAAGCAGGTATTGAGAAGCAGCAGCTAGCAATCCTTATTCCCATGTAGAGTTTATAGGGAACTCCAGCATTTTCACTAAATCAGTGCTGGTCCTACAACATCCTTTACTATTTCAAAAAACCCTTGCAGTTTTCATAGCAGGGTCTTTTTGATTTGCTGTCTCTCCTCTGACAGTAGAAATACTATTTTTATTGTGTATTTCAAATTTTTCTTACCTCTTCAGAAGGTGTTACCACATATGGTGGATTAAACAGCAGCAGATCAACCTTCCCATTTAGTCTTGGAGACAATCCTTTGACCTGTGGATGAACTTGATGATTCTTTCGTGTGGGTTTTTTTTTGAAACATGAAGAATGCAAATATTTTGTAAAAATACAGTTACGTAATGCTGGATATTCTAAGCATCTCATCCTGACTCAGGAATACTAACCTTTACTTTCTATGTGCAAGAGAAGCATCAAGAAGAAGTACCCATGCAGAGCAGAACAATTTTGATAAGTCTTATGATTATGTTATGCATAAGTTGTAGAAAAGCAAGAGACACGTGCAGACACAGGGGTAGTACTTTATTCTTGCTCAGTTCAGAATTTAAGTTAGATATAAAAGAATGTTGAATTTTTCATTGGTTAACATTTGTTAGCCAAAATGACTGATCTGTGACAACTGCAGTTCAGTTCTCAGGTATGAGCAGTTGTTCATCCATTAAATCCCATTTATTGTTGCCTATCTACATCGTCTTCTGTAAACATATATATTCAGGGTTAAAAGATGAGAAAATTAGGTTTTCTCCATATCAAATTTTGTAAGAAACTAAAAGTAACAATATACACAGGTCCTAATTAAATCAGAAAAGGCTGAGAACTAAGAACTGTATAGCTTTAGAGGAAGGGGTATGATAATGTCAAGTGACTACAGAATTCCTCGTCCAGCATTTTCCCAAACTGTATCTACACAATTTATTTTTTAAATTAATTCAATGACTTTTTAGAGCTTAATTATGAATTTTAGAGCTTGAGTAGTGTGGTTTTCTCTTCTTTCAGAAACATTTTGGCATTTTTGTTTTCTTTTTCCCCATCCATGCTTTTAAAAAGAAGGTTTGTTCTAGGCTTTTTAGTTACTTTTCAGAATCAGGGCCACAAAGATGATTACAGGTCTGGAGCATCTCTCTTATGAGAAGAGACTGCAGGAGCTGGGCCTGCTTAGTCTGCAGAAAAGACTGAGAGGGAGGGGATCTCATTAATGCATATAAATATCTCAAAGGTGGGTGCCAAGAGGATGGTGCCAGGCTCTTTTCAGTGGTGCCCAACAGCAAAACAAGGAGTAATGATCATAAACTAAAACACAACAAGTTCCACCTCAACATGAGGAAGAACTTTACATTGAGGGTGGCAGAGCACTGGAACAGGCTGTCCAGGGAGGTCATGGATTCTCCCTCTCTGGAGACATTCAAAATCCACCTGGACATGTGCTTAACTATTGTGTGATTCTGTGATCTCTAATAAGTATTAAAAAATTACAAAAACTATAAAGAAGATATTACTGAAACATCTATCTTACCAAGTCAGTAATGACTGGCTGAAGGTGAACATTGTTAAGCCGAGCTGTCTCCTGTGTACAGTAAGCTGCCATGGGGTTGATATCTGTACATCTAAAAGCAAAATATTACTAAGTGTAAGTTATAGGCTACCGTACATGGAAGTTTAACCCTATGAACCACATGCTAATTTATGTACTCTCAAAGACAATATCCATTTCAGCATCCTTTACTTTGCAAGTAAATAGCAAAAAACACCTAGTAAAATACACACACTGTATTAGCAGCTAAACCACTCAATGCTACACTGTAAGTTTTAATGGCTGTCTGAAAGTTGAAGTGCAGGATTTCCACTTTGACGCTAGCTCTGCATAAATATATATATTCATACAAGTCTCTAATAAAATTCAGTTACTCCCAACACCCAGGTAACTAATCTCATGAGACCACAGGAAGACTAGTCAGTGGGTAAAATTTAAGATTCAACCCAGCAAACACAAGTGTAGGCATGGAAAAATGGAATTGTAGTCACAGCACTACTTAATTACAGAACCTGAAGTAAATAGCTCAGCACCTGTTGTGGTGCATCCCCTTTTGCCCTCAGTCCACATCTCAGAAATGCTCAACAGGCTTTCTTTTTGCTTTAATTTCCTTAGCTGTAGAACTGAGCTAATATTTCTTTGTAAACAGTTTTTAAAATGGGAAAATGAAAAATATATATTTGAGGGCTAAGCATTCTTTATTATTGCACGCAACAGTTTAAATGCTGTTATACTTACATGTACAGGGCACTGGATCCAAGAATGGAAGAAGCTAGAAATGTTGAAACCACACCAGATCCAGATCCTATTTCAAGGCAGATCTCAACTCTAAAGAGAGAAAACTCTGGATGACTTTTTATTTGTAACATATAAGAGCATCACAACAGATACAGAATTAGTCAAGACAGTGTTATGAAACATGCTCTCCTTCTCCCAAACGTGCTAAAGTCATAGAATATCATAGAATATCCTGAGTTGGAAGGGACCCACAAGGATCATCAGTTCCAGCTCCTGGACTTGCTGGTCACATGGCCCTCAGTGCTCACATTATGTCACCTCTCCCATAGTGGCTTCCAGGCCTCCTGGTGCCCATACAGATGATTCCTGGTGATCACAAGCCACTTCTGGAAACACATACGTTTCTCCTATGCCTAACATGAAAGTTCCTGTTAACTATGCAATCTCAATAGTACAAGCTATATTTCTATAGCATTTATTGTACATTTATTGCAGCAAGGCTGAACTGCAACAGAAATTATGGAAGTTCACTGTGAAGCTGCTCGAAGAGAGCAGGGCTCAAATGCATGGCATCGAAGAATATTCTGAGCTGGAAGGGACTCACAAGGATCATCAAAGTCCAACTCCTGCCCCTGTGCAGGACATCCCAAGAATAACACCCTGTGCCTGAGAGCATCATCCAAACCCTCCCTGAACTCTGTCAGGCTTGGGGCTGGGACCACTTCCCTGGGGAGCCTGTTCCAGTGCCCAGCCACCCTCTGGGTGAACCATGTTTTCCTGATATCCAACTTCCCTCTTCCCTGACCCAGCTTCATGCCGTTCCCTCGGGTCTTGTCACTGGTAAACAGAGAGCAAAGATCGGTGTCTGTCCCTCCACTTCCCCTCACGAGGGAAGCTATGGGGTCTGCCCTCAGTATGCTCTTCTCCAGGCTGAACAAGTCCAGTGACCTCAGCCGCTGCTCGTATGGCCCCTCTAGACCCTTCACCATCTTCGCAGCCCTGCTCTGGATACTGACAGCTTTAAGGCCCCTCAGATACTGTGCTGCCCAGTCCCTCTGTGACAGCAATCCCTCAGCAGATAAACCCCCTCCTCGGGTGCCTGGCGGCCGGTGCCGGTCCCGCCCCTCACCGCCCGCCCCTACCGAGCTGCCCGCAGGCGTGCCGACGAGTACCGGCTCCAGCGCATCCAGCAAGCAGGAAGGTATCTCGGCGGCTCGTACACGTGCGGAAGGCCCCCGCGGGCCCCAGGTGTCCGTACGCGCGGGGTGGGGCGACGCCGGCCCCCGACATGCGCGGGCACCTCCCGGCGCGGGGGGAAAAGGGGGCGGGCGGGGCGAAGGGAAACGCGTCGGTCCGGCCTGCGGCGGGCGGGCGGCATCCTGCCGCATCCCACCCGAGCCGGCGTAGACGACCGCGAGTGTGCGCGGTCGTCCAGCCGTGGGTGTCCGTGGGTGCTGATGTGAGAGAGCCCTGCTGTTGTTGCTCATAATTTTGGTGTCCGCTTCACAGATTGTGTTTCCACCGTGAGAACTACCGCAGGGAGTCAGCGTGAACACCGAATGAAAGAGGTGCTGAGGGAAGTTCTTGAAGCACACAGGGGAAACCCTTACATTGATACTCAACTTAAACGAAGCTCTATTTTCCAGTTATAAAATACTATGTTTCTGTGATTTTTAGTCAACAACACCTCACCGCATGCTTATGTACCAACCCTGTGAACTTCAGAGTCGTAGAATCACAGAATGGCTTGGGTTGGAAGGCACCTTAAAGATCGTCTGGATCAAACCCCCCTACCATGGGCAGGGACACCTTCCACTAGACCAGGTTGCTCAGAGCCCCATCCAACCTGGCCTTAAACACTTCCAGGGGTGGGGCAGCCACAGCTTCTCTGGGCAACATGTTCCATTGTCTCGCCACACTCACACTAAAAGAATTTCATCCTAATATCCAATCTAAACCTACTCACTTTCAGTTTGAAGTCTTAACCCCTTTTCACTACATGCCTCTGTAAGTAATCTCTCTCCATCTTTCTTCTAGGCTTTTTGGGTACTGGAAGACCTCAATTATGTCACCCTGAAACCTTCTCTTTTCTAGGCTGAACAATCCTGATTCTCTCAGCCTTTCTTCATAGGATAGGTGCTCACTCCAGTCATCCTGGTGTCCTCTTCTGGACTTGCTCCCACATGTCGATGTCGTTCCTGTGCTGGGGACTCCAGAGATGGATGCAGTACTCTAACAAAAATGAGGCTCTGCAAAACTAAGAATTGAGGGGAAATTTCAGGGCTCAGATCAGACTAATAATTTCCTCTACACAACAAACCCCAAACAAATTGTGATCAAAAGCAGAAGAGAGAGGTGGACAAATTCTAATTCCCATTAAATGTCTGTGTTCAATTATTAATGCAGTGAACACTCAAATTCTGGCAGTAAGATGAATGTCTAGGTCAATGAAGGAAACAGGTGATGTTAACAAACAAGTTAGAATCTTAAAATGTTATTTTGATAGGAATTTTGAGTAACATGAGTTTTGGCAAAAGAAGGAAAAAAATGCACCTAAACAACTAACCCAGTGGATTAATCTTTGTTGACTTACATATATAAATGTACTTAAAATACAAGTATGTATGTGGCCTGGTTCTGGACAGGACAGGGTTAATATTTGCAGTAGCCAGGAGGGAACATGGCTGGGACCTGCAGGTTATTCTATACCGCTTAACCTCATTTTCTGGGAACTGGGAAAACGCCTGCTTCCAGGTCGGGGTAGTGTGGCACGGTCAGGTATGGTTGAAGGTTTCCACAATAACATTTCTCGTACATTCTGTTATTAGTATTGTTGCTGTTACTGTTTGTTTTCTTGTCTCATTGCTGTTTCCAATAAATTGTTCATATCTCAACCTGTGGTCTTTAACTTTTGTGCCTCTAATTGTCCTCTCCAACCTGCCACAGGAGAAGGGCAGGGGGACAGGAAGACTAAATTGGAGAATACCATTCCTAAACCATGACAGTATGTTATGTACCTTAAGTACATAAATGTACCTAAGTCAGGTATGTCTTGTTTGCTACTCTCCATTTTGGTTTTTTTTCCTGGAACCCGGGAAAGATAGCCCATTTCCACTTTTCACATGCAACTGTGAATGGCTTCTGTAAAACAGAGGATATCTGCCATTCCTACAGAAGAACAGCTTCATTTTTGAGCATCTTGTAATTCATAAGTGCTGCTAAACTCATTTTGAAGCTAGTTTTTTTTCTCTTTATTTCTGTATCCGCTGTAGGGTCAGCTTTGCATTGAAATGTAGGAAAACACAGAAATGGAGTTCCTGTGTCGTGTGAAGATCTCATCCTTTACCCTCCATTGCAAAGAATTGTACTGAAAGTTTGTTGTTCATCTATTTCACATACATGGGTGTGAGAAAAAGATGGTGTCATCATTATACTCAGTTCTTGCCATAACAAGAAATTTGTTTGGGTAAATTCTCTTAGAAAAAAGACTATCCCTGCACACTGGAGAAAAAACCCCAACAATAACAAAAAAGAACAGCTAACTAGTGTTGCCTGACCCAGGTGTTGGACACCAACTCACCAGCCAGGTACCTGGAAGATTTAACTGAAAATTCAGCGTTATTCAGTACATCTTGCCTTACATCTGCCTTTAGCTGTGTCCCACGTTTCCAAGTAAAATCAAAGTGCTGCTCTTTATCCTCAAAGCCAACCTTTTTCAAGTAACCAGAAATTATCAATAATAATAATAATATACCAGAAATATGTGACAAGAATTATGATGAGCCTGTAGTAAGCAACTGTCCTTTATGTCCAATCCTTTGGGGTAAGTGAATGCAATCAGATATCCAGAGATAAATATTCAGAGATCCAAAAATGAGGTTTTAACTCAAGGATCATTTTTGTCCTGTCATGGAAATGAAACCATCAAGTTTTATTTTAAAACAGGTTTCTTGGTCTACCATTTAGAGTGTAAAGCAATTCTAGAAAATGAGAAGTTCAGAAAATTTCAGTTTTCAGAGTAAATTTATTCATGGACCTGATCTTGTACTAGTATTACTTTTAGTTTAAAATGTTATTTTCTCTTCATTTATTCTCTCACATTAAGTGTTGTCATAACCTACCTCAACCTTCATTTTGCCAACTAAATTAGTCCTTATTGCCTCCTAATTTATGTCCTTATCATATTCTTTCATCATCCTGTTCTGATAAGATTTATTCGGCATGGTGTCTAAATACAGGGTAAATGAGATCTTAGGCTGTGAGAAGATAATAGTTTCCTTAACTTGAAATCTCTTGGCTGACGAAGAGCAGGAATATCACATTTGTGTCAGAATGGTGGGTTCTGACTGAGGTTAATGTTAATCTGCTCTTACCTGGACCATCAGTGGAGGAAAATAGACTGCTTCTGTGGGCCAGGGGCTTGACAGGAGACAATAACCGGTTTTTTAGCTTAAAAGGAAACCCAGTAGATACTCCTTCATTTCATCTGTCTTCCCATCTGCTGTACCAGAGAAACAAATACTTTGAAAACATATTAAGCTTGCATAAAATTCCATTACTTTGGAAATGAAGTCATGTAAAGAGGCAGAATTTTGCATTGTGTCCATATTGGGAAAATTAATTTTTTGGATATATTTTTTTAATCTCTACAGGTGGTCAAGCTTTGGAGTGCTGTAGAAGAAATTACTTCACCATCTTCAGCTGTACTGGCTGTTATTTTTGGCTGTTTCATACTTCATGAAATCTAGTTAATTATTATTGGGTTTTTTTAATACTTATAAGTCCTTCTGGGTGAATTTTACAAAACATTTATTTTTATTGCTTATATAACTGCGTACCTAAAATGTTTTTCTTGGTAGGTAACTGTACTGGTTTTGCCAAAACAGATTCTATTTCAATTTTGGGAAGTTGTTGGAAGGCTAATACGGGAATATGTTTTTCAGTGGTGCCTGTGCTATGTTATTAAAGTAGGCTTTATGGAGATGAAAAATTGTTCTTGACAGGAATCATAACCATTTGTTTACGCTAAGATGTATGGCTTCATCCCATTTGGAATTCAGTGCCATACTTCTCACACAGCAAATCCTTAACCCATGATTTCCTAACTGCCTGTCAGCCCTCAGAGATCTCCATTATAAAATTCTCAAACATTTCACAGCTGCATCTGGCCCTCTGTGTCCTGGAAGTAATGTAGACCTGTGCTGGACCTATGAATGCTCCTGTTTCACTGCATTTGAGGTCTGGAAGAAATCTCTTTATCTAAGTAGTCCAACAAGCAACCTCATCTTATATTTCTCAAACTGAGCAAGTATCTTCTTGAAAGTATATAGGCTTCTTGCCAACAATATTTCTAGTGAAAAGCTGTTATAACACTTTGGTGCTCTAATCATTAGAAACCTTGTAATTCCTGGCCTAAATGCAGAGGTGATAGATTTTATACTTACTCTTCCGGCAAGTACGTAAGCTTAGGTGATTCTTTTCATAGTTTTTCCTTGATGAATTTGTAGACAAAGAAAGGTTCTCATCAGCCTTTGTTTTGCTTGATTAAATAAGACATGCTCTTAAAATTTCCTGCCATAAGACGTTATTTTAATTTCTCTTACTGCACTTCTAGACTTTCCATGTATGGATTCAAGTCAGACTTCACACTGAATGTGACTTGTACAAAGACTACAGGTAATGCCTTATTGATGCTTTGAAGAATTTACTAGCTTCATTACCTCTTGTGGGATTTTCCTGGTACATCCCAGGATCATGGTTGCACTTTCTTTGCAGAAATAGTTTCTTTCCATTTTGCGATCAGCTGGTTTTCCTTGGTTTTTCCTCAATGGTTTCCAAATAACTGACTATAAAGTGAAAGTTCCATAGCATTTTATTGTTTTTAATAGTTCCCTTTTTGCATGTCTATTGCTCACATCCTGGTCGTTTTGTTCACCCCCCCAAAGGTTGTCTCCTGATTTCATGTTGTCATCTTAGTGATGCCAAGGATACTGATAAAAAAACTTTAGTAAAATCAGCCCCAAGACTGGTATTTCAGGAAGTAACCATTAGTGATTTT